TGATTGGAGGTGGTGGGGGGGGGATTTTTGGCCGTAGAGGTGACTGATGCTCTCTTTTCAGCAAGCTGCAATGAAAAACTGGGTGTATTTGCCTGAGGTTTTTGGGTAATTCTAATTCTACTGTTACTGGATTTATGATCCTTTTAATTGGAAAAGGTCCTATATATTTTGGTCCAAGTTTTTTACAGGGCTGTAGGGACTTTAGGTATTTTGTAGATAAGTACACCATTTCTCCTATAATGAATGGTGTAGGCTCAACCCTTTTTTTATCGGCTTGTGCTTTGTATGCCCGCCTAGCTTCATCTAGTGATTTTCTGACTATTGGCCAGGTGTTTTGTAGGCTTTCCATCCATTCTTTCAGTGAAGGGATCGTTGGTTCTTTTGGGGTTAACTCTGGCATAGGGTTGAAACTTTGGCCGTTGGCTATTTGAAAAGGAGTGTAGCCTGTGCTGGAGTGGACTGCATTATTGTAGGCAACTTCTGCAAAAGGAAGTAAGTCCGTCCAATCACTCTGTTGGAAATTTAAAAAACATCTCAAATATTGCTCAAGTACCGACTGGCAGCGTTCCGCTTGTCCATCTGTCTGAGGGTGATGGCTAGATGTCAGTCCCTGAGTGGTCCCTAAGAGGGATAAAAATTCCTTCCAAAATGTAGACGTAAATTGCACTCCCCTATCAGAGATGATGCGTTGGGGTGCCCCGTGCAATCTGTAAATGTGCTGGATAAAAAGTTTTGCTAAGGCCTTTGCAGTGGGAATTTTTTGGCAAGGGATAAAGTGCACCTGTTTGGAAAATAGGTCCGTGACTGTCCAGATAACAGTATTCCCATTGCTTTCAGGCAATTCCACTATAAAATCCATGGCTATTTCCCTCCAGGGGGCTGAGGGACTTGCCACTGGTTGTAACAGCCCTGGCGATTTCCCTTGCAACCTCTTTGCTGATGCACAGGTTGGGCAGCTGGCAACATAACTTTCTATGTCCTTTTTTATTGATGGCCACCAAAATTGCCGTTTAATTAAGTGTAAAGTTTTTACAAATCCAAAATGCCCTGCTGATTTTGTGTCATGGCAAAGTTGCATGAAAGTTAGTCTTTGAGTTGTTGGTATATATAACTTTTCCCCTACCCAAGGCAATCCGTCTCTCATTGTGCACACATGTTTGTTTTTCTGGAACCAATCATCTGTTTCCAAACTTTTTCTGAATTCAATCCCAGTTTGGCTGTCCAGTTGTGGTTTTATTTTGGCTTGGGTTCTTGTGGTTACTGGCGCTGCCAGTTGTGACTCTGCCATTATTGGTCTAGAGTCTGTGGTTCGTGCGCTGTTATATTGGGGCATGCGAGATAGTGCATCTGCCAGGAAGTTCTTTCTTCCTGGTAAATGTTTGAGCTTAAATTGGAATTGGTGAAAATGCTGGGACCAGCGGGCTTGTTTGGGATTGAGTTTCCTGGAAGTTTTCAGGGCTTCTAAATTTTTGTGATCAGTCCATACCTGGAAGGGGATTTTGTTGCCTTCCAGGAACTGTCGCCACGTGAGTAATGCCCAACGTATCCCATAAGCCTCCTTCTCCCATACGGGCCAGCGCTGTTCTGTTTCCGTGAGTTTCTTAGATGTATATGCACAGGGTTGCAATACTGCATCATCATTTTCTTGTAATAGCACAGCCCCCACTGCCACATCACTTGCATCTGCCTGTATTATGAAGGGTTTGTCCATGTCTGGGTGCCTTAGTACTGGTTCGGCAGAAAAAAGTCTCTTTAGTCTCTCAAACGCTGCTTGGCACTCCATTGTCCATGTTAGTGGCTGGCTAGGTTTTACTGAGGATGTTCCCTTCGTTTTTAGTAAGTTAGTGAGGGGCAAGGCTATCTGTGCAAATGAGGGGATGAATTGGCGGTAAAAATTTGCAAAGCCCAGGAAACTTTGTAGTTGCTTTCTTGTGCGGGGTGGTGCCCATTCTAATACTGCTCTGACCTTCTCTGGGTCCATTTCAATGCCCTGTGGGGATATGCGATAGCCTAGGTAGTCTATCCTTTCCTGGTGGAATTCGCATTTTGAGAGTTTGGCATATAGGTGAGCGGCTCGCAGCTTCTTTAAAACCGCTCTGACAAGTTGACGTGTTCTTCTTTTGTTTCGGTAAAGATAAGAATGTCGTCCAAGTAAACAAGGACCCCCTTAAACAGGTGCTCCCTTAGAACGTCATTGATTAATTGCATAAAGACTGCAGGGCCCCCTTGTAATCCAAATGGCAAGACTTTGAATTGATAGCACCCCATGGGGCAGTTAAATGCAGTCTTCCATTCGTCCCCTTCCTTGATTCTCACGCGATAGTAAGCTTCCCTTAAGTCTAGTTTAGAAAAAATTTTCCCTTTCGATAGGTGTGACAGCATGTCTTTCATGAGGGGCAGCGGGTATAGGTTGCTTTCACTGATTGTATTCAGGGCCCTATAATCCACGCATAAACGTAAGGAGCCATCCTTCTTCTCTCTAAAAAGGACCGGGGCAGCCACTTTAGGCTTGGCTGGCTCAATGAAACCTCTCTCCAGGTTTTTTTTTATAAATCTTTCCATTTCCTCCTTCTCCTTTGGGCTCATGGAGTATAATCTGGGCTTCGGGAGTTTTGCCCCAGGCTTGAATTCAATGGTACAGTCTGTGGGTCGGTGGGGGGAAGCTCATTCGCCCTCTCCTCACTGAAGACTTCAGCAAGGTCCCTATATTCCTCTGGTATTTCTGTTAATCTTTTTTCCTCTCCTATGGATGCTTTTTCTATTCTTGATTCTGGTAGCCTCCCTTGGGGTTTTAAGTCCATAGGGTCCCCCTTCGGGAATTTGATTTCTGTCGTCCTCCAATTTACCCAGGGGTTCCATTTTTTCAACCATTCCATCCCTAGAATCATTGGGCATTCCATACCTGGGGTCACCACAAACGTTAAGTCCTCTTCATGGTTGCCCAGGGAGAGATGTATTGGCAAAGTGGCTAGGGTAGCTGGCACCCCCCCTGCTATGGATCCATCTAGCTGGCCAAATGAGATTGGTTGTTCCAGTCTCCTGGATGGGATGCCCAGATTCCCCACTAGTGTTGGGCTAATGAGGCAGCGGGTACAGCCAGAGTCTATTAAGGCTTTCACCTTCACAGCTTCGGGCATGGGGGGGATTAATATAGTCACTGTTTTGAAGATGGGTGTGATGCATCCACTTACCAGGGGTTCGCCCTCCGAGCTGTCATCTGAGGCATCCACCGGCCCTGTGGTGTAGGCTGGAGTCCTTTCCCTTTGGTGAGCAGAGGTGGGGGTTTCTGCAATTTCCATCATTCTCATGGCCGTTTCTTTTGGCTTAGCTGAATACTTTCCGGGTTTGTTGATTGGGGATCTGTCTGGGTTGTGCTGGGGGGCCTTTGAGGCATTCTACAGCTCGATGCCCTTCTCTTCCGCACTTGAAACATCTCATTTGCTTCTTGGCTGTATCCGATGATTTCACCGGTTGGTGTGTCAGCTCAGGCGGGGGGCGGCTCCATTGTTTTCCTCGGCGGTGCCTCTTCAATATGTCGATCTCTGCTTCCTCTGCCAAGACGTACCATTCCTCAAGTCGATGTGGGTCCCCCCGGGGTAGGCAAGCATCATATAGATCATAGTTTAGTCCGTCTTTGAAATGGCCAAGGAGGATGTCTTCTGGCCAATTCAGTTTGCTGGCAATGGCCCGGAATTCTTGTGTATACTCAGCCACTGGGCGTTTGCCCTGCCTCATCGTTGTTATTTTTTCACGGGCTTTGCGATCAGCCAGGGGGTCTTCAAATCGTCTTCTCAAAGAGGACATGAAACGGTTGAAGTTACTGAGTTCTGGGGCATTGGAGTCATGCAAGTTCACTACCCAATCCGCAGCTGGTCCATCCAGGGCAGATTGCACGATCCGGATGCGGGCTTTGTCGCTGGGAATGTCCTGCCCATATTCCTCCATGTAGCTGAGGACTTGGGTTAGGAAAAATCCCAAGCGTGTTGGCTCCCCTTTGAATTTCACTTCCAACGGTGGACGTCTTGGAATGGATCGGTGCCTCTGTTGTGGGTGGTAGTGCCTTCCGTCCAGATTGCCATCTGTGGTCCGGTAGGGGGTGGGAGCTCCTGGATCAGTAGATGTCCCTGGGGTTGCAGGTTCCACGTTCCCCTCGGTGTCTCTCCCTTTGCGGCTCCAGGAACTGGGGCAGCCGTAGGGTTCAGTATTCTCCTCTCCTAGGGAGCTGAGAGTTCTCTTCATCAGGTCAATAGCTTTCTCTAGGATCCAGTCTGAGTACGGTGCCCAGCTTTCTCCCTCTTCACTTGCGTGCAGGGATTTCTCCATCTCCTGCTTCCATTCTGGTTGCTTGGTCCCCCGTCTCAGGGTCACCTTTCTTGATTCCTTTCCCCACTCACTTTTCTTTCCAACGCCCATCGACCAGCGAGGCTTGTGGTCCTGTATCTCCACCACTTCTTCTCCTGAGGAATCTGGCCTCTCGGATCCCAACATCTGGCAAGGTTCCAACTGGGTCAGCGGCTCTCTTTCCAGGGAGTTTTCCCCCTCTTTTGCTCCATTGTCTGACATGGTAAATTTTTGCAAAATCCCCCGGCAAGGGTCTTCCTTCCAGGTGGATTAATTTTGCAAGTCCTGTCTAATGTGAGGACCCACCCCACTTTGCATCTTAAGAAGACAGAACTCTTGGAATAATTCTTCCAACAGGAATCCTTTATTAAGAGAAAATGGTTGCAGGCATGCTAGACAGGACTTGGGGTCCAAGCTCTCCCATTCAAGGTTTTAAGGGGTTCCCCAGTAGTCCCACCCAATCAACCCCCCTTCCAGTGATAGTTTCAAGTATCACAATTCCATCCCCTTTCTTCTTCCGTCTGGATGGAGACTTCAGATAACTACATGAAGGCAATTACTCTTCTTTGATATGTTAAAGCTTAGAGGCCACAATAAACACACATTCAGTCCTTTGAAGTGTGCTGAAGGAAGTGAGGGCCATAAAGCCCCTTTGCTCTCCCCCTTTTCTCCCTCTTATGGCAGAATCCAGAGAAGGCAGAATTGGGAGTTTCTATGTTTGATAATTAAAGATGAAATATAATTGGATTCTGACAATATTGCAAGTGACTATGAAATACTGCAAATGGCTGCCTTGACTGGAGCTTCATGTGCTGGAAGGTTGAAGCACGTAAAATTATAAAAAGGTTCTCAGCAATGTCTGGGGCAAAGTAAAATCAGGCAGGTTCTCTCACAATGCTTTTTAACTTATAGAGGATACATAATAATAGATTATTAGAATTACAGACATCTCCATTTTGGCTTTGAAACTAAAGTTTAATTGCAGCCATTCAGAGTTTATAATAGCATGCATTATCTTTTACTCTGAACATTTGAAATGTAACCTTGAAAAAAGGTGATTTCATGCAGTGTCCTTTGAGTGGTAATAAAGCTTCCTTTGGGAACACATCCAATGTTCAGCCATCACAAAGCCATGTTCCAGCTATGACATCAGTGGGGGATTTTGGTAGGATTTTTTTCAAGTTGCTGAGAATGTTAATAAAAAGAAATAATGGTGATGGGTCATGCAATATGAATAAATAAATGAGCAATGCTGCATACTGTAGGCCACATAGGACTTATTCCTTTAATTCAAATAATCATTTTTTAAAACTCCTAGATTGTGTCTTGGGCATGGAATAGGAAGAGTTCAACTTCTGGGGCAACCACTATGTTCTCCACAATTGCTCAAGAAATTTTGGGACACAAGCGGACAATCTTTTTGTCTTCCAAGTTTCTTCTCTTAATATATATTAAGTTTCTTGATATATATTAAGTGTTTCTAAGCCTCCTATAACAGATAATGTTGGAGTATGATTAGAGCCAGTTTGGTCTAATGGTGAAGGTGCCCCGGTAGAAACTGGGAGGCCTTGACTTCCAGTCCGGCCTTAGGCACCAAAGTCAGCTCTCAGCTCAACCCACCTCACAGGGTTGTTGTGAGAAAATAGGACGACTATTAGATATGTTTACCAATTTTGTTTTGAAAAAAACAAAGGCAGGATATCAATCATGTTTGGGAATGGGCTGCACTTGCGGCCCAACAGGCCTACTGAGCGTGTGGCGCTCCTGCTTGGCAACTCGGCGCCACCAATCCGCGGCTAGACCCGCGCCTCAGGCGGCTGCCACGGCAGGATCCGCCGGAGGTTCGGGGCAAGCTGCACCTGCCACTTTCGCGGAGCGCGGGGGAAGCGTCTCCCCGCCCGAGAGGGCTCTTCGCGAGAGCCTCGGGCGCTGCCAGGCGGCTGGATGGCGAGCAGGGAAACAAGGCCTCCGGCAGCGGCCGTATTTCCGTCTCGCGCCTGGCCGGGCGGGGCCAGCCCGGTGCGAGGCGATGCGGCCCCTATGCGGCTACCAGGCCCCTCTGGATTACCCTGGCAACCGCTGCACGGGGCAGCGCGGCGCCCCTCACGTGACCTCCGAGGAGAGACTGGCTAATCCGCCGGATTTCTACCAATCCCAGGATGCCTCTCTCTCGTCCCCTCCCTCTCCCGCTCGAGCTGCCGGGGAGAGCCCCTCCTGCGCATGCACTCACGTACACGCGCGGGCACGCGTCCGCCGGGAAAAGGCCATTGGGTCCCGGGACACGTCACGCGCGTTCCCGTCAGTGTCCGGGCTCCGCCTCACACCCTCGCTCCGCCGCCAGCCAATGGGGAGGCCCGTCTCATCGGGCCAATGGGGAGGGCCGGCTCTGGCGGCGGACGGAACGGCGGTGCCGTGAGGAAGGAAGCGGCGCTGTCGGGCGGAGCGGGCCGGGCAGGGGGTCTTCCGTGCGAGCGAGTGAGCGAGCCAGCCAGCGGCGGCCGGGGAGGCAGCGAGAGCCGCCGGGGAGGCGGACGAACCATGGAGCGGGTGGGCCGGAGGCGGCGACGCCGGCACTGCTGAGGGCCCGCCGCTCCCGCGCCGCCCGCCCGCCCGCCCGCCGCCGCTCCCTCAGGCAGGCGGCCGGGCCGGGCGCAGGGAGAGAAGTTGCGAGCAGGCCTCGCGCGCTCGCCGTCGGGCCTCCCGCCGCCACGGAGGCGGTGGTCGCCGCCGCCGCGCCGGGTAAGCACAGCGCCGAGGCCTCCCCTCCCCCACCGGCGGCCTGGGGGGAGCGCGGGCGGGGGGGGCGCGCGGAGCACGTGGTCTCGGGGAGGCCCCGGACGGAGGCCAAGCGGCTCCTCCGGCGAGGGGCGCGGGGAAAGGCGGCGGTGTGGGATGCCGAGGGCGAGCTCGGGGTCACCTCTGTGGGCCCGACTCCCCCGGCGGCCCTCCGCCCCCTCGTCCGGGACTCCGCAGAAGCTCTCCCCGCTCGGAGGGTCGGGCGACGGCGGAGGCAAGCGCAGGGCCGCCGTCGGGCTCTGCGAAGCCTCTCCGGGGTGGGAGACGCGCCCCCGCCAGCCCTGCCCTGGCAGTCGGAAAGAGGCAGCTGCCGGGGCTTTCCAGCCCGGCGACGGAGAAGGCGGGGTGGGTGCCCGGAGGGGCCGGGGCCGCCTCGGGAGTAGGGAGAGAGGGGAGACAACAGAAGGCCGACAGGACGGGGGGGGGGGGGAAGAAGCAACCTCCAGCCGGCTGCAGAGAGCCGGGCTCGGGCACCCCGAGCCGAGCCGAGGTGGGCGGCGCAGGTGGAGGGCAGGAGAGGCTCCTCGGCCCCGGGGAACCCCAGCCGAAGAGGAGGGTCTGCAGCCGCGGGGGGAGGGAGGGATTGCCTTTACCAGGGCTGATGCGGTGAAAATGACTCGGTTCTGCTAATCTCCATTTAATATTTCATCATCTCTCAGCCAGCGACGCTCTGCCTGGGTAGGGAAGCAGCTCTCTGCCAGCAAGGCGGCTGAATTGCATTTATTTTCTTGTTTAATCTCTCAGTTGCATAGCCTCTTCCTTGGGTTTCCTCCTAAAACAAGAAATAAAAAGCAGCTGTATGTCTTCAAACAGAATTTAAAACCTCCCACCCACCTCGTCTCTTAAGAGGAGGATTGATTACATGTTTAGAAAGGCAAATCATCCCCCCAAGCCTTGAGGAACTGAGCCCTCCGATGCCCTCTGCCCTTTTCCCAGAGAAAGCAGCTGTCCTGTGAAGGATGTGTGCCTGTGGATTGAAAACCGGCCTGTTCATTGAGGCACAAGGGCTGGTGTGTTTGGATCTGCTTCTCCTCTTAAAATCGGTGCTCTGTTTTGATAGTTGCAGGAAGGAACTACAGCTCCCTCCCCCTCCTTTCCTCTTTTGTACACAGATCTCCCTTGTCACAAGGAACATGGCTGTAGAGGGAGCAGATCAGTCACTGTCTTTTAAAGGCAAATGCATCTCTGCGGATTGTTCTAGAAAGGGAATATGGACAGAATAGCCTAGCCAGGCAGGCAAAGAGGAGAAGAATAATCAGCCAATGAGTTTTTCATGGTTGTGCTTGGAAAATGTTATCAATAAAGTCCCTAGAAGTCATTCTGAGGAAAAATGGAGCCTGCCTCTTGGATTTTTCACCTATTCCCCTTTCCCTCACAGTTTTTAATGTGTTTTTCTGTGGCCCTAGTTTTATTCTGGGTTTTGTTTATTAGTGAAATTCAAAAGACCCTAATTTTTGAATAGAGTTTAAGTGTTTGTAGTAAAACTTATTTTGACTGAAGTAGATGGCTTATATCTGAGTAAGAAAGAGCCCCAATTTTATGCTGAAAAGGAATTATTAAAATAAGTTAGAGATGCTGCTAGTGATGAAAGTAAATGAAAAGTAAGATTCTTTATAACCTACAGTTATTCTAGGCATCATAGGAGATAACGACAAGGCAGGCCCTGCTTATGCAAGGACAGAGGTCCCCAACCTTTTGGGCATCAGGGACTGGTTACATGGAGAGAAGTTTTTCTGGGGACCGGAGGGTGCATGGCTTTGTCTGCTGCCTGCATCCTGTGGATGGGGCTTTGTTTGTGTGGACTGGTTGCTGGCATGCCGCGGCCCGGTACTGGTCCACGGACTGGAGGTTGGGGATCCCTATGCAAGGACACAACAATTCCAGGTAGGTCCCTGGAGAATTGAAAGTGTTTTTTAGGCTGTAATTCTCTATGGAATAGAGACAGTCACACAGGCAGCCCAGTATTTACTGCTCATGTATATAAACACTTATTCTGCATTCCCTCCTTTAAAGAGTTAACTGGTTGAACTGGTTGAACAGGGCTGCATTTGGCAGGTTGGGCTTGGGGACTGCCCTGGCTATTGAACTTTGTGTGTTGGGAGCAAGGTTAGAACATTGTATGTATTGTGGCTGCTGCATGTGCAGTTGTGCTGAATTATGCATAGTTGCATGTATAGATCAGTTCTCATGGCAAAAGGACATTAAAAGTTTCCTAAAAGCATTTTTAGTTTTGGGGAATAGATCGTTAAAGGCTTAAATTATAGTACAAATTAAGGGGTACCATGACATGCTAGTAATGGCACATAGCTGCCTCTCGTCTAAGTGTAGATGTTAAAATAATTAGTTTTTGGCACACAACTGTGGAGCTTCACATTTGGTTTAAATACCAAAGAGAATAATAAAGGATAATCTGTGTAGATGAGTCGCAAAGTGGAAACTGGACTTATTTTTTTCTTTGAAGACGTTTCACTTCTCATCCAAGAAGCTTCTTCAGTTCTGAACAGAAAGTCCAGTTGCCTTTTGAAAAAGCACCTGGATGACTGAGAATAGACTGTGTAGATGAGATATTTCTCTGGTAGATTTTATATAGTACCAGTTTGCCTTGCTCAAAGGAGATGAACTAATACTAAGTCTAGGATGAAGATGAGGGACAGTATTATTAACACGTAATGGGTAGCTCTAACTACATGGCAGAATGGATGTTCCAGGTTTCATTAAGATAATGTATATGTTCTGGGTTAATAGTATTCTTATGTGTATTAAAATCTGAATTTAAGCATTTTTTTCCAAATCACATTTTGTAAAAATTACTGTGAAAAACTTAATCATTAATATTTCTAGTTTTTGCCCTTCACAAAATAAAATGTCCACTGATGTGGAAGATTCTGCTTTGATTTCTAGGGTAGGCTTTTATTTGCCAGGAAAGAATTGTTCCTTTACTGTGATCAGGCAGTATTAATCAGACTGTATCATCAGTCTAGTCTCTTTAAGGGAACCACATGTATATATAACTATTTGAATTTTATAAAGTAGATAGCAAATGAGTTATTGCTCTATATAGCTTTGCTTAATATTTTTCTACAAATCTTTTTCTTAGCATTTGTAAACATGCAATTAAAATACAATTTGTAGGAATGTTTAGGAAACAGTGAGAGAAACTGCAGTGTCAAAAAGGCAGTTTTATGTGTTAAGAATCATAATAGGGACAAATATGTTCAGAATATTTATGGCTATAGAACAAGGAATGGGATAAAAAACTGCATTGTCCTTTGATTCAAACTTGATATCTGCAGTATTGTTGCTGCTGCTGTTTTTTTAATCCATGTATGTGTTTTTTAATTGATTTGCTGCATTCATTGTTTTTAATGGAATAAATTTTCTTGGTGTGGTTCAGTTAAAAAAAAGTCTTAATGATAATCTTTAATCTTGCTGCTCATTCATGCAGTTTCGTAAATAACCTTCTGTTGTCTCACCAATACTTCAGTAGCATTTTGGGGAAAACATACAAGGAATTTATGTATATTGCAGCAGCAGTTTAACAACAAAATGAAGCCCATTTGAAATATATGTATGTAGCCAGATTTACTTACATTTTAATAGGAAAATTTAATCATTATTTGGAAATCGCTATCAAATCATATTAAAGGTAATACAAGAATATATTTAAAAACCACATTGTAAATGTTATTTTAAAATTATTAGGATCTTTCAGGGAGATATGTCACAGTGTTTTAATATCTAGTGACTCTAGAATAAGTTGCTCAGTTCAAGATTTAATGTACTGGAAGATGTCCCCTAGAAGATATAAGAAAAACTAGACATGAGACAGCATCAAAAATAAAAAAAGCATAGTAAGGACAGAAATAATGTGCTGACAGAGATAAAGCCAATGATTGTTGTTAACATTTATCCTTATGTATAATCACAATTTGTAACTTGAAGCCCATAGGGCAAATCTGAGACGTGGCCTACAGTTTTGTTTTCAACTTAGATGTGAAAGAGGTATGAAAAACGTGACTTTGTCTCAGACACTTGGTAAATACCTCTCTTTTAAGAGGGTGGACGTGGGGGCCCACAGTGTCTTACACCTCAAAGTGACACTTCACAAACATTGGCGCTTAGCAGTTGGCTGCTGAGACAATTTTAGTTATTTGAGATGGAGCTAATAAAAAGCTGGTACTAGCGGTACCTTTGACCAGCTGAGGTAGTTCCAGAGAGTCGCTGACTCATTAAAAGATGGCCAGGTTCCTGTGCCAATGGTTTAAAGCTACAGCTTGTGTCCTAAGAAACTTCTATATGCTACTGTATAGAGAATTCATTTGAGAAGGATCCATGAGGTTTTTTTTAAGCTGCTTTTTTTGTTACCACACGTAGATCCATTTTCTAAAAAGGAATTATTAAAAGAAAATACATTGCAACTATCAGTGGCTCCTTGATTACCAAGAGTGCAGATAGTCTATGTACGGTTGGTGGTTATTTCATTTGGGAGGAATTTCCCAGAGATTAGGTAACCAGAATGAATATAGTCCACCAGAGTAGGCGAAGGGTTTTCGGTATCTTGTGTTACTAACTACATAGTTGCTTTATTTTGTTTTGGGGTTTTTGCTGTGGCGTTAGAACTCTGTAAACTTAGTTAATATACTGATCGGGTTTAAGAGAAAATGCTGAACCTTAATTATGAGGCCTGACCTAATTTAAAAATGAGCATGGTTCAAGGTATGTTTTTTCTTAAAGTTTTACTCTGACCTTTGGTTCTACAAACATAATGATTGTTACAAAACTAAAAGGATTACACAGTATATCTTATATGAATGTCTTTATTTTATTAAATTGAGAAATATAAGTGGAAATGATATGCTTTGCTTTTGAGAATATTGCTAATCTAATTTCTCATTTCCCTGTTGTTATAATCATATTTCATGCGTTAAACATTGAAGAAACTATATTTAAATCTCTTTGACAAATCTTGCAATTTCTTAGAAAGTTGCTATATAGATTTTGAGCAGTGCTTAAATCTGTCCTTTTTCTAGCAAGCTGCTTTTTTAGCTCATTATGTGAGTAAGACTGTTCTGTTGGCACAGTTTAGATGAAAAATTGACACGTGTGGGAATTCAGCAGGTACTTCCTCATAGCTGTTAAAAATATGTCACTCTTTTTGCTGGTGGGAAACATGACCTGAGAGAAGCCAGGTATCACCATCATCATCTTCCTCCTTTTCCTGCTGTCAAGTTCTTCATTGTTTTCAGAGAAAAGTAAGCATTCACATTCTTGTCAGAAGTGCCCCTGCCATCTGCCATTGGTTTGCTGCATTGCCCTTGGCATTTGTGTGGTGAATTATTTATCCTCAAGGAGTCAGTGGGCAGACTGCCTCTTTAAAAAAAAAGTGGAGAAGATTCTGCTTGTAACAGCAGAATGAATTTTGGTATAAAATGGATCTATTTTTAAGGATTGATATTCTTAATTGTTGAATAATGCATGATTTTATAAACTTATCAAACATTGTCTGAACTCCTCTGTAGGACTGTTTAACCCTTATTAGAGTTATATATTTGTTAGTAACGTATTTTTATTACAGATGATCCAGTTTTTAAAGTTTTTGCTAGAAAAAGGAAGCATTGTGAACAAATGGGCTTTAAGGGTGGCAGTGAGAATAGCAACTTTGGATTTTCCTTATCATTAGAAAACATAGCAGTCACACTGTTCATTATAAAGAGCAGTAGCTACTTCATAACCATAGTCCACTGATACTACTGCTGCCTTTCCTAGGTTGAGACTAGGAAAAGGAATGTTGTTAGGATTTGGGAAGGCCATGTGCAGCTGTTGAAACCATGTCCCTAGTCATTGGGCATGCTGCTGATGCGGATTATTCTAGATCAGGGGTGTCTGCCGGCCCTTGGGCCGGTTTCATCATACCGAAGCCGCGCCCACGCTATTGCCGGTAAAACTGGCCCGATACATTGTGCGATGTCACATGACATCGCGAGTTTGACACCCCTGTTCTAGACATCCCGGTTCTCAACTAAATGGCTGAGTCTTCACCCAATGTTAAGATATGTTTTGTTTATGTGTAGGTCACTTACTAAATCATAGTTGGCTCTGTTCATGAAATGTGTTGTCCAAATTTACAAGTTGGCTTAGAATGATGCCATTTACCATATTGTGAAATTGTTTGAATAGTCAGGGCTGAGGTTCTTTCTATGTCAAAGAGCAATGGGCTTAACGGGAATGTGTTTCACGTGGTGCATTCTGATGTCTTTTGGAGAAATTTCTTTTAGACCTAACTGTGGTTGCTTTCATGACTTTCTCACTGGGTAGTTATATCAAATGCGGATATAGGATTATGTTTTATATATGTGAAACGGTTTAAGTAGAAATACAGATCTAACTATAACAGGAAAATGGTGGCAGGGAGTGTGGGGGGGGGACTCATGTGGAAATAATGAAATCATTTGTTTCATCTTTCATTCAAATTAAGAGCTATAAATACATAAGAGCCCTCCAGCACTGGAATGAAAGCCTGCATGTTGTTTGCCAAGGGGCCAAACAGACGCCTCTGATAAGTCTGCATGCAGGACCAGAAGGCCAATAGCTCTCCTGCTTATGCCCCTTGCCAATTGATATTGCCGGGGGGGGGGGGGAGCATCATACAGTTATCAGAATAGGCGATTCTTAATAGGCTTCTTCATTAGAACATGTGTATTTTTTAAAAAATGAAAGTAGAT